TAATTATTATCGCGGGCCGCAGTTCCGGGAATACGTAATGTCGTCGATATGCGGACGGTGAGCTGTCTGTGCCCGGTGGCACAAGAACGCGATAACGAATTTTACGAATTACACATACTAACATCAATTTACTTCTCACACACTAACACGGATCAAATATAAATGCTATATGGAATGCCTAAATATTACTCCTTAAAATATGTCACGCTCCAGCCACCTTAAATAAAGTTCATACAGCAGGTATCGATAATTTACTTGTTTGACGGTTAGAGAATTGGAAACCGAAAGATATCTGTTATATACGTCAAGCCTTTGCGTGGCGTATACGACACAGTCTTCTGACCAGACTCGACTGCCGTCCAACAGTCCGTCCGGGGCCTTCGGAATGTGCTAACTCGGCTCTTTTGGTCACGTAGACCATAATGAGAACCGAATCGGTCGACGGTCACACACTCGTTTTACCCTGAGTAAACACATTGAGCCTTATATATATTCTATCTGTAATAGTAATACACACATATGTGTATACATACTTACATACGTACTCGTGCATATACAACATGGGTACTTGTTTTTTAATCTATATGGATAATCGAATAATCAATTGAGAAATCAATTACTAATGATAAGTTTAATTTTGGGTTTTGATCAATTATTGTTATAATCTGCCCCACTTTACGATTGTCAGGTCTTGAAATCTTATTCAACACATTATCATAGACCAAACGACGGTATACACATATAGACAATATTACTAGCTAGCTACAACAATAATGTTTAAGACAGTGGTTCTTAAGTCTTAACACAGTTTACCAGTACAACGATTCGTACACTGAGCACAGCACTTCGATGGAGCATCGGCGGACCGTACATGTGTAACGTAGGTGAATATGAAATTACATCACAAGTAGTCGAACATTTAGCATATCTGGTGGAACGTAACGTAAGTAATGTCACAATTTCGTATAAGTATGATTTTCAGACTTTTCATGTCGAAATATCACCGACACGTGTGTGAAGTTGACTCCGTTCACGTTGTGAAATTAGCACATAAAAAGGCGGTCAACTCCACACACGTGTCGGTGATATTTCGACGAATTATTGTAAGCAAACTTTTTGAATTTGTAAGTTTATCAGTTCGAATTAATTGCTTAACTAAACTTGGGGGTGGGGCTAACAACACACTATCCTTTCTGTTTTATCCAAATTACATTTTCAATATTGTAAGTTAAAAAGCTCGATTTGTAAGTAATTGTAAGTTTAATTTTTGAATTTTTAAGTTCTTCGATTTGATGAAATGGCTAAAATTAACATGAGGGGCCAATATCATACTAGCCCCCCCCCCCTTCCACTAAATTACACATGAAAAATTGAAAGTTGTGTACCTTAATTTGTCAGTAATTGTAAATTGGTTTTTGGAATTTGTAAGTTACTAGAAGCAAAATTGTGACCAAAAAAAAACTTAGAAGGGAGGGAGCTCTAGCCCCCCCCCCCACCCTTACTAAATTCACCGGAAAAGTAAGTAAAATTGTAAGTTGTATAGATTAATTTATAAGTACCCAATTGTTAACTGGTTTTTGTAATTCTTATGTCCATCAGGTGTATAGGTAGTAAATAAAAGACACCAAAAGAAGTCCATCCTCAGTCACCATGACACTGTACGTCCTAGGATAATTGGTTAGGAAAACAAATATTAATGAATCATTTTGCTAAAACAATTATTTAAAATAAACATTTAATGTAATTTAACTTTTCAATTTTAATAGATCAAAACAACTTTTTATCGGTTCCTACTACATTCAACTCAGGCTGTGAAACCCCAAAGAAAAAATTGAGGAAATATAAATCCTAATATATTTTTGACTTTTTTGGTTTGTTGATGGTTGAGTTTCCGTATATTATAGTATTAAATACTTACCCAATACCTATTTAACTTTTTCATTTATACATTTTTTTGGCTCTGAAACCTGTGTATAATAATACACAAAATAAAATATTTAAAATTTATAATATAATATACATATATATTTTGGGATATTTATGATTATGAATGTATTTATTTTGTAATAAGTAAAGCGAGCTTGTGTTTCCTAAAATTGTACGGTTAGGTATAATGGTAATATTATAAAATAAAGNGATCTAAATTACAAACTAGACCTAAGTTCAGTGTCTGATTCAGATGAAGAAATGAACGAACTTTTATTTTTGTATTCACTATCAAAACGAAATAAATCTATATGGAAAAGCGAGTACATGAAGAAAAGAAAAAGTCACGGTGAATTTATTCTGACATTGGAATTTTCCGATAAACAGTTCACCAATTACTTCCGTTTAAATCGAAACCAATTTAATGAAGTTCTAAGTATTGTCAATGATAAAATTTATTCAGTAGGATGTAATGCTCAAAAACCAATTGATCCCGAAGAAAAACTCGCTGTATTTTTAAGGTAAGTTATAATTTTTATTAAATAGCGACCTGCTTATAAACAAATATTATTATAGTATAAAAATTAGGACTTATATGTAATTGTACATAGTAATTTTACACTTAATTTTACACTTAACAACTTTAACAAAATATGTTTCAACATAAAGTTTAACAATAAACATAAAATTTTAAATTTTGATTAAACTTTTGCATAACTTTGCAATAAAAATAATGAAATTATAAAAAATAAAAAAAATAACGATACCCAAAATTAGTTTTGAAAATTTGTATAAAACTGTCTTATGTCACTTCGATCACAAGACTGTGTATCCATAGAGCTGTTGGACATAAAACTTTCATGAGAACTAGAAGAGTCTCCTATGAATTGCCACGTGGAAGTAGACTGAGTTTGTCCGTCTAAATGATGTTGAAATGAAGTGTTCGGGATATTCAAAAGAGCTGCCTCAGCTTCCGAAACGGTCTCAAATATTTTATTTTTTACTCTGAGTTGAGATGCTGGTGGTAGTTTTTGCGTGGTGTGATACATTGACAAAAAAAATGATAAAGTGGATCAGTCAAAGGTTTTGAGTCCTCCAACCTTTTACGCTCAATCGCTCTTACTTTTGCCCTATGTTCTCGATTTATAATAGATTGTTGGATTAAGTTGCTTATGTCATTTTTTTTTATTTTTTTACTCTGTGGCTCTTTGAAAACTGTATCTCTATCTTCATTGCATTCAATAGATACGTCATTTTCATATAACATAAACAAAATAATAATGTTGACTAGTCAATTAATTCATCTTCATCATCTGTCTCAGGCAAAACATCTAACACAGATGGCTTGAAAGGAATAGAGAGGTATTCTGAATGATAAACTTTAGGTATAATTTTTTTTAAGCACAAATTTCTTAGATCTTTGTATTTAGCTGCTGTAACAGGAAGCTTTTCTTTATACTGATGTTTTAGAACTGGATTTGTATTGCATGTTTATCTTAATCTTGCATTATTATGTAAATTTACAGTTTTATAATCATCTTCACCGTTTTCTCCAGGTTTAAAAGTGTATGAAATTTTTAATTCTTCCAGATTGTCTTTACTAAATTTAACCTTTCTAATAGACTTGAATTTAACATCACAATTCATTGTGTCTTTTAATTTAGCCTTATTGAATGTAGCATTGCATATGTCATTCCACTTTAGAAAATCATTATAGTTTAAAATTATTGTTTCATATGGCCCAATATTAGATCTAGAATTTCTGATGACTGTAGGCCATTCCGATGGGGCCCAAATTGTTTTCTTTTTAATGTTTTTATCAATGCAAGCATGGATATAATCTACTGGCATGTATGGGTGACCAGCTAATAAATAGTTGATTGTAAATTGTAATAATCTTAATATTTTCTGCATATTTTAAAAGAAAATGTCGAAGCATAGATAACATATTGTGATTTTTATTTTGGCCTGGGCAATTGTCACAGTAAAATGCAATTTCATATACATTTCCTTTCATATCAATACTTTTTAAATATTTGAACAAAATTTTATTTTATTTTTATTTTATTTTTTATTTTTATAAGAAGTTACACAATCTATACTAGAAGCACAATAAGCGTATTTGCAGAGAGAAAAAAAAAACACTGGATAATACGGGGGTAAGAAGTCACCCATTAGCAACACTTGGCATGAGCATGTATTATGTTAATCTGTGACTTTGTGGGGAATAAGAATGAGATGAATAACGAGGAATAGTTCGTTGGAGGTTATAAGATTAGGAGGTCCCTGCACCATCTCCTTTTCAGGCGGCGGCGAGGTGTTTCAGGCAAAGTTAGAGTATTTAGATTCCTAATTAGTGGATTTTTGTGGTTGGCTAGGTGTGAAAAGAAGCGCTTGTAATAAATTACTGATTCTTCTTCGACTGTTTTCATGCGCATGTCATTATGGAGGGTTAGATTGGATACATACGGTGGGGCATTTGCTATTCTGCGTAGGGTGATGTTCTGGATGGTCTGAATTTTGTTTATATTAGTTTTTTTGGCTGATCCCCATAACTGTAGACCATAAGTCCAGATGGGTTTTAATAATGACTTGTAGATGAGAAGTTTAGTTTGAAGTTGAGTGAATTTATTTTTTGATAAGAGGTGTTTGAGGGAGCGAGAACGAGAGTTTAAAGTTAGTCGTTTGGACCTTATGTGCTGTTTCCAAGTTAGCCTTTTGTCAAGGGTCAGGCCTAGGTATTTGACGGTGTCAGACGACGGAATAGGAATGTTGTCTACAGATACAGGTGGGCAAATTCCGTGTGTCGCGTATGCTTATTATATATTATATTATTTATGTTAACACACTTTAATGAGTACCTATTGTCGTTATCAATTTATTATTATTATTATTATTAATGGTAATTGTCACTCGATCGGTATCTCCTCTCCGCACTGCTGTTAGTCGGACGTGAGCACTGTGTCTAGCATATAATATGAATATCGTGTAAAATTAAAGAAAATATTTACAGTCCACTAAAAATAAAGGCGTTAAATTTATTAACCAGCGTAACATTGGTCCTTCGGGCCGGATCGCAAGAGTGTCGTGTATTATCTCTTGTCGATTTCAATCGGGTTAACGTGTCAGTGAAATTCAAAAAGAAGTTCGTATGGAAAGTTCACATCGTGGGATGAACTAACGAATAAAAATCAAGGTAAGAGAGTCATTCCTATCGTATAAAAAGTTATCAATTATCATAGTTCCCTTATTCCTTAAACTACAAAATAGACACGTATTCAAGGGTTAGGTAGAGTTAGCAATTCGTAGTTAGTAAAATTAATTATTTATAAATAATAAAAACTAACAGAGTCCGTCCATAGCAGATAGTTACAAAGTACAACTCGTAGCAACAATCATATAGATTATATAATTATTGGATATTCCATTATGCAATAGTTTAAATAGGGCGACACATTGAATGGTTGGCAATTATATCTATATACAAGAGCATTA